ACAGCCAGCCCGTCGGAGTGGCCGATGATGCCGTCGTCCGAGTCGTGCGCCCCCAGGTCGTACAGCAATTCACCCCACTCGCACGGCCAGTGCTCCCACAGCCGCGGGCTCCCACCCCTCGCCGCCTGCTCCAGCTCGATCCCCTCCAGCAATCGCAGCATCGCCCGGTTCTTGTCCCGGACCATCTGGCGCTGCTCGACCAAGAGGCGGCGTCTGGTGTCTGCAGGCACCGGGCCCTCTCCATCGCCCGGAATGAAGCGGGTCACGAGCAGCACGTCCTCCCTGCCGAGGGCCTCCTTCAGACCCAGGTACTCGGCCTCGCTCAGTGGCTGGCCCAGCTTCTCGCTCACCGGTCGATGCCTGGAGACGCGTGCTATCAGCTCCCGCAGCTCGGGTTGCAGTACGAGGCGCCGTTTCATACCGCCACCCTCCAGCCCTGCAGCGCAATAGTCGCGCCCCGCAACCGATTGCTTCTCGAGCGCGGCGCCGTCTGCAGACCGCCCCGGATGCGTGAACGGCCTGCGGAAGTCGTGCGAGGTCGACCCAAGCCCCCCGGGGCGCTTCCCGCCATCGGAGTTGGCAATCCCCACGATCCCATCGCATAGCAAGACCTGTGGGAGCACCATCGAGCAAGTTCATCAGGACTGCTGCGTCAACCGGCAGAAGCAACAGGTAATGTGGATTTATGAAGGCGTTTGATCCATATATTTGTCTTTTAAGACTTGTTTACAAATCAATCTGATCTGATGCATTTGCTACCATGTCCTTTCAGGACGAAAATGACCCATAAGGGCTGGTGTTGATTTGTACCGGGTGTCTGATCACTGCTCAAACCACTGGATAATCGGTAGAAGCAACACGTGCAAGGGCTTACGGGTTTCATCGAATGCATGCCTTGAGTCGAGCAGCCGCTTTCCAAGCATCCAAGGGCCCTCACCAATTCAACTGCTATGCAGATCCAAGGGAGCTCATTTTCCATCTTCCAATCAAGATGCTCACCTCCGGGTGCGGACCGCATATGCTGCAGCATTCCAGGAGCTGCCGGCCAACCAGCCGGAAGAAATCGAGGCTCGCCTTCCGCCACGTCTCTTCTGACAGGACGGCGCACTCTGGTGCCCTCCAGAGGGCCTCCTGCTGCCCCTCCAGCAGCGCCCCAAAGCCCGACTGCCCCCGCTGCATCTGCTTGAGCAGCAGCTACAGGCTCTCCTGTACAACAATTGTCTGGCGGCTCCAGACATAGAGGCCCAAGTGCTCCCCGTCGAAATGGATGGTGTGCTTCCTCGGGCATTTGCAGGAGTAGTTTCTGGTGCGCACGGCCTGGCTCCAAGTGGAAGCATGCACAACCGCGTCCTGCCACAGCCCCGCCCACTCTCCACCGCACAGAGGGGGTTCGAGAGGGCACGGCGCGCTCAGCATCCCAAGGTCGCCCAGCTCATGGAAGTCCCGCCCCACCAGCTTGCTGACTCTGATCGGTCCGCACCTCAGCCGCATCACCCACGGGTCGTGAAAGTCCGGGGCGTCGCTCAGCTGGCTCAGCTTCGGCTGCGTCACCTGGACGGCCTGCGTCTCCTGAAGCATGACCGGCGCCCTTCCCTTGCCCTCATGCTGGCATCCCCGCTGGGCACCCTCCAGCGTGCAGTTGCCGCAGGAGGAAACCCAGCATCGGATCGCTTCCTTGCCTAGCGCCTCCATGGGTGGCTCCCGGACACTCTGGGGCGCCACGATCAAAGGAGCCCCGCCCGCGTGACTCCTATACCACTGCTTGCTCCTGCGCGCCCCCGTCCATGGCTCGCTCACGCTCAGCCCCTGAGGCGCTGATGCGGTCGGCTCAGCTACTCCGAACAATTGCTGGTGCTCTCGGCAGAAGCAGTCCGCACCAGCGCATCCGGCCGGCTCATGGCGCTGTCCTGATATGAGGCCCATCAGGTGCGCCTCCTCCTCGCTGGCCCCTTCGGAACTCGAGCGCGACTCGCTCCCCCCCTCACCCCTGCCAAGCGCTCCGTCCCATCGTTCCAGCCACTGCCTCGCCGTACTTAGGGCATCCTGCCCAAGAAGTAGCCCCTGTGCAAAATGGACCTGCCCCGCTCGGACGGCCAAGTTCGCAGCGAGAATGTGGCTACAGTCGTGCTGCGACGGACAGCCGTCCCTCTTTCCCTGGCAGTACCAGTCGCCATCAACGCTCCGATGCAGCATCTTGTGCGCTGGGCTGACCCCCTTAGGGCTGCTTCTCACGGCAAAGAAGCGCCCCGTAGAGTCCGTACCCACCTGCTCGACCAGCCCCGCTCCCCGTCCCAACTCTCTGGCAGTGGGAAGGTCCCCTTGCTGCAACCCCGTAGAGCGGAGGGCCGCGAGCACCAGCTTATGGACGCAAGGAGCGTCCCTGGCCAGCCGGCCACGATCGCACGAGCAGTTCGAGTATCCCTGGCTATCCCACCAGCACTCCTCCAGCAGCGCCTTTTCCTTGCTGGGCTTGCCGAGAGCTTTTGGCCTCGCTCGGTTGTGATCCCAATGCGTCATGTAGAGCCGCAGGGGGCCGGGCGCACATGCGTCTACTCCAGCCGGTACGACTATGCGGCACGTGCCCTCCAGGACGCCGCTCAGGAAGAGGCCAGCTTGGGCCGGGATGCCGAGGCGCTCCTCAGGCTGCAGGTGCCAACTAGATCTTTCAGGCAAACTTCCTGACCGCTCTCGGAAAACAACCTCACGCCTTGCTCACAGTCGGAACTGAACGAGCAGCTCAAGATCGCATCCGGGATTTTGCGCATTATCCCGCCTTTCAAGTGGCGGGCCATGAGAAATTCCATGAACAGCATGTAGTCGGTCCTTGTGCTCCCCCTCTTAGCGTGGGCACAGGCAAGACAGTGTGTCCATCGAAATCTCAGGGGGCGTGCGCAATCGCTTGTAGACGCTTGCTGCATTGTAAATCATCATAGGTTCTATTAAGAAAATATATGCACTCACCAGCATCTCGCGCGCGCGGCTGCCGGCTTGCATGCCCCTGTTCAATGCGCTCTCAGCTGCCGCCTTTTTTGGCTAAGTTCTTCCTGCTTACGGTGCTCTCGTTTGAGATCACAACAGCCTCAAGCAGCTCGTTCGTGAGCTCCAGTTTTTGCCTCCAGCTCCCTGAGGCCTGGCGCTCGAACAACAGCGCATCGTGCTTGCACAGGCTCACGCTCTCTGCATCGGCGCTGACCTTCAAATCCCCCATCAGCTTGCCCACGCATCCTAGGCAAAGGATCTGCCTCCTCTGCTTGTTTTTGGGCACGCCGCAGCTGACCAAGTAGCCCTTCATCGCGCACCTGCGGAAGCTCAGCCTCAAGCTCCCATCCGTACCGCCTGTGCCCTTCCAAACCTGCTGCCTGCAGGTGATGCACCTGCCAGAAATCTGCCCTATCTCCGCCGGTCGGACGCTATCCTCGCCTACGTAGTAAAGGCCGCGTCCGATCTGAGCTAAATCCGAAGCCAAGTAGTGCTCAGTGGGGGCTGCCATGGTCGAAAACCCCCCAGCATGCACCAACATGCACAAAGGCTGTCCCTTGTGAACCAACTGGGAGCTCGACTGACACTGCCTACCTCCGACCATCTTTGTTCATCCTTCCGGCCTCTCTCTCTCCCTAAGTATGTCTCGCCTCTAGACTGGACTGCTGCCCGGGACGGCGGCCCGCCGGAAGGCTCGAAATTCGATGATAACCGCTTCGAAGAGCTCCGGCGGGCCGCCGAGTTCGCTGCAGGGGGGCTGCTGGCGAAATCCTCTTCGGTACCGTTATCAGTCAGGTGACGCTATGCCAAAACTCGAGTTTTCAGGACCGTCCGATCGATCGCGAGAACTTAGGGATTGGTAGGACGCATCCCGGCCGTCCGATAAGGCCGACCTTCATTTGGTTGCCCCTACAGATATCAACACGGGCTGGTCGAACAAAACGTTAAACTCGGCCGGCTGCCGTTTCAGTGCGTCCTAAAATTAATAAACGTTCTAATATTTAGTGCCGGTCAAACTACCGGCAGGCTACCGTCTCTGCTTGCTTGCATCTACGAGAATGCGCTACCTATTTAGCCAACCAGCAGGCCTGCGCACAAATTATGACATGAACGGGCCGCTGTGCAGCATGGGTCACTTCAACCTGCTTGAACTGGTCACAATTCTGGGAAACGCTCTTGTTTCAAAGTTCAACATCAGGGAGGGGCCCTGCCTCCAGCCCTGCCTCCTGTGCCCCTGTCCAGCTCATTCGAGGCAGCCCTTTTGCAGAAAAGTCCCCCCAAGAGATGCTGTGTTGCAAGGCCTTGACGTCAAACAATGAACGGAGACAGGGCGGAGCGCCCTGAGCGAGATGCACTTTTGGAGGGGGCGGACATGCACATGGAAAGGAACAAAGCGCTGGGAGATCTGCCAATGTACAGGCAAAGCAGCACGGCATCCGCTGTGGCACAAGGCCAACAGGTAATCTAGAGAACTTGCTAGCTTTGTGCTGCAAACACTTCGCGGTGCTGCAAACCCTTCGCGTCATTGAGGAGAGGCCAACTTGTGAAGAGAAGTCTGCTTTGATATTGCGGCGGCACCAGATAATATGTCCTTGGAATCTTAAAGATGGTCATTTCAAGGTATATGTGTTGAAAGCAGGGTGGCCGTAATGATCAGAAGAGTTCTTTGGAGATTTTGTGGAACTTTTTAGCGTGAGTGTAAGGGTCAAGAAACAAGGACTGCAAGCACTATGCCTGCTTGTGTCTTGGCAACATTGCAGTTTTCTGTCAACTCTGGCAAGCAAATTTTTGTACAACTATCATTATGCATTTTGGCCTTGATTACGTACATTTGTACGTAGGATGCTGCCAAATGGTGACATCTCCACAGCATTGTGTGAGGTTGCCAGCTACAGTGATGTTACTCATTGATATCACCAGTGCACCATGATTGAGATTTTCGACCTCACTTTGTAGCAGAGAATGAGTAGCATTGTTTTGCTTTGGTCACCCCTCTCGGGGGGGGAATTCGTGGAATTTGTGGACCTCTTGAAGCCCAAGGAACTGCAACTTTCACATATTCTGGTCTTTGCTCCCGTCTTGTATCTCGATCTCTTCGCGCTCACTCGCCTTGCTCCTGTGCAATCTTGTGCAGGCTTGCCTCTCTCTGATAACTTCCTGGACCAGCAAGAAGTTTCTCAATGGCTGGTGAGTGCACGCCGGTGTTTCGTGGTCCGTTGTTGCTGCTTGGTTCTGTTAACTCGGTCCGCCGGCCTTTGAGTGAAAATGGGCCATGCTAACTGAATGTCGGCACGCTGCTGTCGTGCACACCTCTTGCTCCTTACCTGCACAACGGTTGCTAGTTTTCTGTTTGGTCGTAAATAGATAATCAGGAGTTTCAAATGCCCCTCCAACCCCTCTTTGATCCATGGGCCTGTGAACGGTTTCCACTTTGTCTCTGTCCAGTTGCTCACTCCTTTTTGCTATGCAGTGTCATCCTATTCCCCATGGTGGTCACATTCTACATTGCGTGGTGGTTCCTCAACTTCTTCGACGGGTTCTTCTCTCCCCTCTATGAGGCCACCATCGGCTTCCATGTCTTTGGTAAGACCTCCTAGATTGATTTGCAGAAAAAGGGGTCACATAGACGAGCGCCCTCGTTCTGCTCAGAACTTGCACTAAGATCCTCGACTTTAAAGAACCTATTTCAGTGATATTTTTCGTGACTAGTAGAGTGCTTGGAGAAGAAGTCATATGCAATCATCTGCCAAAGTGCGCTACCTCCTTTTGTTTTGAAGAATATGGAAGCGTGTGGCCACAGGAGATTCAATCATCGAATTGTGTAAGCCTAACCAAGCTTGGCATGCGCAGGCCTGGGTTTCGTGACCTCGATGGTTTTCATCTTCCTGGTGGGAGTTATCGTATCGAGCTGGATCGGGGCGTCTATTCTGTGGGTGGGCGAGTGGTTCATCCGCAGGATGCCGCTCATCAAGCACATCTACTCTGCTTCGAAGCAGATCAGCCAGGCCATCTCGCCAGGTAAACCATTGCTCCGGCCATCAGGGACGGAAGATAGAATTTCTAGTGCTCGTTGAAAATCCCCTCAAAGAGCCAAGATGAGTCTCTTTGGTGCGATTGGTGGAAGCTGTTTCGCTCTTCAGAGACTGCCGTTCTGTCTGCACCTTGATGATTGAATAATGTGTGGTCAGCCTTTTGTCAATTCACAGCTGATAGTCACCTTGCAGATACAGAAATTTTGAACTATTTGTCTGGAAAGAATGGTCTCGTCCATTCGTTGCATTTGATGTTTGTTGTAAATCTGTTGAAGAAACTTCATTTCTGGTTTTGCAGAAAACTCAACGGCTGCATTCAAGGAGGTGGCCATCATTCGGCATCCACGCGTGGGGGAGTACGCTTTCGCTTTCATCACTTCTACGGTCACCTTACAGGTCGGTGTTTCGTCCTGACCCAATGTAGCAGTCCATTGTCATCAATTGCCTCTGTCTGAAGCGTGGAGGTCATATGCTTACTGTCTGAAGCGTGGAGGTCATATGCTTGCTGTAAGTTCTGACGGTTGCACAAGCCCTTTATAATCAATCTCAATGGAATGTACCAAAGGGTTGGGGTTATGAGGCTGCAGCTGGCTGCAGTTTATATGCCCATCATTGTTGCTTGCTCACATTGGACTGCACTATTGGTAGTGCCAAAAACGTCCTGAGGTTTTCTGGTCCACAACCAAAGTGATTTCTCCTGAACTGCAGACCCCTGACGGCGAGGAGGAGTTGTATACAGTATATGTCCCCACCAATCACCTGTACATAGGCGACATCTTCCTCATACGATCTGCGGACATCATCCGACCGAATCTGTCAGTACGGGAGGGCATAGGTATGAGCAGGCCGGTTGTTTGCCCCTTCGACTCAGATTGCATCGTTGACTTTGAGATCTTCTTCCAAGTCGGACGCACTTGGTCCCACTCGACCATAATGACCCACTACTTTACGATCTGTCGTTCTGTGAAAGCTTTAGGCTGGACTTTTGTACTGTGGCATTGTGTCGTTGGCAGCCACCTCCGAAAAGGTCATCGTGTTTCGAGCCTTGGCGCCAACTAAAATATGATGATTGGAAGATCTGAATGTTTTCACTATTTTGCGTGCAGAGATCGTCGTGTCTGGAGGCATGGCGGTCCCGTCGCTAATCACACCGATCGAACCATAGTCACCTTTCCGGAGACTGGTGCCAAGCGGGCGCTTCTAGTTCTCCTCACAAAGACGGGTCCAAGAACTCCTGCGGGCTTTCTTATCTGCGTTGAGCCTGATACAAGTCTGGTTCCGTAATCTTTTGAAGTATATAGATTGGTGACGATCGCACTCTGTAAGTACTGGGACGCCTCTTCTGTGGTTGCGAGGATCCACGAAAGCGACTCGGGCTAGCTTTCGAAACCCTGGAACTTGTCTGCTGAACCGTTGAGGGCGGCTAACTTAACATGCAACATAGTCTACCGCATGTGCCAAGCGGTTGCCTAATCGTCGCACCGGCCAGCCGCCTAGGCGGCAGCATTGAATTTCGGATCGAGGGCGTGGCAGTTGATTCGCTTTGGACGATTTAGCCGTCTATCTACGTCTAAGCATGGACTCAACTGCAGTGACCGCCCGCGTGACAATATGATGGACAGCGCCTGCCACGTGAAAGCTACTGCACGACGATTCAATGCCACATGCTAGCTGGGGCGTCTCAGGTTTGTGGAGCTCCGTATGCTCTGTTCATGCATGTTATGGACCTGCAACATGCAGATCGGACCGATTGAAGATCAGTTGATTAAGTTCATGTAGCCCATGCATCCGGTCCGATGCACGACGATGCCATTCTTCATAATTTTGACGGATTTGGTCGCTCAGCCTCATACGGATCGGTGCATGAATCATGCAGTCACTGTCTTCATGGTAGTTTACTGCACATATGTTGTGTGCATGCGAAAGCGGCCCGGCAGGTATCTACTAGTATATATCCGGCCGTGCATGCCGCATGGCCGGCCGCCTTCAAAGCCTGACCATCGTGCAGGTCCACTCCCTTACACTGTTCGAAGTGTCCAAGAGATTCGAAGTTCAACCGGGCCGCGCCCGGAAGGACCCCTATGGCTTCGTTAGGAAGTCGGCCCTCATGGAAACGAGCTATGCGTTCATGTACGTACGTGGATTCGTGGAGTGACCCCAGGTGCAAACGAACTCGAGCTCATCAACGAGAAGGATTTTTTGAGAAGGCATCCGCTGCAAAAAAACAATCTCCGCCCCGACGTTGTCGTAGGTGATCAATGGCTATAAGCTCTGAGCTTGTCGCTGTCAAGCTCCGGGCGCAGGTTTGTTCTTCTGCCCTGCTTTCAAGCCTACTTCAAAGTCTGAAATGCCAGATTCGCATCCCGGAGGATGCCACTCGTAGTCACAAAAGCTGTACCTTGTAAGCGTACCCGGCGCGCATCTGAATCCACAATGACTTTCAGATGGCCTCCTCGTCGAGAGGCCTGCAAATGAGCAACAGCAACAATTCAGGTGTGCAGCCAGTACGCAGCAGAGCAAAGGCAGGCGTAGACCATTGCCTTGTGGTCACAAGACCGTGTGTACACCTGGTTGATGTACGATAGAAGCTCCTGCGTTTCTCAGATACACCCAGGACATTGAGGAAGATTCCATAGAATTAAGGCTAATCAGAAGCCGGTCTATGCTGTACTGACTGCTGCTTCGTTACTCGCTCCAGTACATGATCACTAAGAGGCCAAAAGCAACAAGTCAGAGTGACAAGAAAGCCAGGCGGCCACTGCCAACATCCAGAAGAGGTATGCACAATGCACGAAAGCTTACCTGATAAGCCAAGAGCTCGACCTTTCCCATTTTTTCAGCCCAGTATGGTCCCAGTGTACAGTGGGCGCTGCCAGTCACTGGGTCCTCGTCAATACCGCTTGCCGGTGCAAAGAATCGAGAGACAAAGTCCACTTGTCTCCCGTCAATTGGGGCTGTCCCTGCTGCGGCTGTCACAATGACACCACGGCCACTGACTGCCGCCAGGCTGCGAAAGTCTGGTGTGATCCTCCTTACGCTGTCCACGTCCGTCAGCTCGACCTGAACGAAGAAGAGACGTCTGAAGGGCAAAAGAAAACAAGCCTGCGGCAACGCTCAAGAGAGATAGTGCTGGCTGGAGATTGCCAGCAGCTGTGTCCTTTCCCGGCTGCTACAAAGACAGTCAAGCATAAAACGTCACCTGAAATGTCGTGAAGACAACGTTTCGTTCCGTACGATAGAGAGCGGCCTGTTTCAGCCCTCGAGTCAACGCAGAGGTCGCGGTGACTCAAAGGCCCTCACCAGGACATCAAAGCGGCTGCGCATGACCGCGATGATCGCCGAGGTTTCCAACGCATCTGCCACCTTGTCTTGCAAATCGGGGCAGGGTTCCGGGGCCACCGTAGGAAAGTCCAGTTCAATTGGTCCTACTTGTAGGTCTCCACTGCTTGAAGGAGAGGGGGAGTCAGAGTTCACGCGCCGAGCAGTCAGCACACCGCTGGCGGTGTGGAACCTGATGAGAGATGCTTGTGATGTGCGGCTGGCCCAGAGGAAGTGGGCGGAGGCGAGAGTGGCATGGCCGCAGAGGTCAACCTGGACACACGAGAGAAATTACTCACAGGGGGCCACTCAGCAAAGTGCTGCATCAAATCATTTGTTGGAGGATCAGAAACAACTGTGGCTAAATGCTATGGGGCAACCAAACCAAAACTTGGAAAATGTTGGCACAAGGGCCACTGAGCATTGTGCTGCATCATATCTTTTCTCAGAAGATCCAAAACAGCTGTAGCTGGATAATATGGGCCGAATAACCTGAAACTTTTGAAAATAGGCACCAGTGAAAGTATAGATCAGAATCATTGACGAGGGTCCAAAGTGGCAGAACGCTGTTGATGGGCTGAAACAGTCAAGAGCTGGTAAGCTAGCGCATACCTCCACAGTTGGGGTGAACCACCGCAGGTCAAAGTCAGCTGACTCCTTCTCTGACGCCGGCGTGCTTGCTGAATCTTGTGACACGCTGGCAGCTACAGCCCCTCCGCTCTTGACATCGCGCTTTACTAAAAAGGCTGTTTCAGAGAGGTTGAACTCGTTTGCCACAAGCTGCAGCCATGCTGTATCTTCGGGCCAGCAGGGCAGCTGGAGTACAGCGGCCGGATTGCCCGCAAAGGGGCGGTCAGTGAAAGCATCAATCTGCAATGGCCACCAACAAGGAGCGGAGTTTTTCGGTTTCTGGACGTTTATACGAAGTGAGTCTAAGCCCACAATCACAGAGCTTGTCAGCAGCAGTTCAAGGGGTTGGGGGAGTAACCTCAAGTTCGCAGTCATGTATGTCCACTCATGCCCCTAACTTTCAAAGTAAGGTACAAACTGCACCATTGACTATCCAATGCTGTCTGAAGGAGTGTCACTGGCCTGAACTGAAGCATTGCACTGAGGATACAGCAATAAAGTTCCAACCTGAGTGCTATAGACGGGCTGCTCACAAGCAACATCTCGTTGTCTTCCCAATTTCGCAAGAATGATCAACTTACCACCATGTACTCCAGCCGCCCAAAAGGATCATGCCCTGATTTGTGATGTGAGGCATCATCAAATGCATTTGCATCTTTCTGAGCAGTCGCCATTGTGCATTGTACATCTGCTGGATGTGGTTGCTGAGCTTCTCCACTCTCGTCGCAGCAAGCAGGCAGTGCTGGCTGGCCGGTGTCACACCATTAGGGTTTGAAGGACCCGCTGATGGCGTCGAACGTCTTGCATGAGATTGAAACGAAACACGCGTCCTTTTCCAGGTTCGAAAACTCGTGAGCTAAATATCCTGCGAGTCCGGGTTGCATCAAAACTTGTTTAGCGTACCGAATCGGACTTCGACATTCCGTTCGACGACGATAACATTTCGAAAGCTGGAGAAACACAAAAGCATTTTGCCTTCCTTCCTCGGCCCTTCTTTCTACAACGCTAGCAGCTTAAACTGCTTCGGTCAGGGCGCCCCTGCACCGTCGCTGCTGCTTATAACACAACGCCATCATGTCGGTCTCTGAGGTTGCTGTTACCTATGCTGCCCTTATCCTGCACGACGATGGGATCCCTATCACGGTAAGCGTTGCTTGTCGGAAATCAAGCACAGTTCAGTCGGTGCTGAAGGCGTTTTAGTTGTACAAACTATCTCTGTGTGGCTCTCTTTTTGTCATTTGTGTCAGAGTCGCTCACGATGTGGTTCCAGCTTCCTCAAGAATAGCTCTGCAGATGGGTTCTCACACAGAGTAAGAAGGAAGTCTGGGCCGGTAACGATCAAAGTTGATGGTCTGCTTTCGCGGTCATCGGAAACGGGATTGACCCTTGAACCTTTATGACATGCTTGTCATTCGTCAACAACCACTGTCAACAACCACTAAGGAGATCCCCTTTGGCTGATAACCATTACCATCATGTGGTTGCTGAAAGATGGACTTCTTGCGCAGGCTGACAAGCTGAGCACAATTGTTAAGGCTGCTGGCATCACTGTAGAGTCATACTGGCCTGGCCTCTTCGCAAAGCTCCTGGAGAAGAGGAGCGTTGAGGACCTGATCACCAACGCTGGCTCTGGTAAGTGCTGCTCCCTTTCATGTTTATGTGTCTCCGGGCCCTGCTGTACAGGCGAATGGTAATGACAATAACAACTGTGGATAAACCTACAAAGGCCGGGAAACGGGTCAAAAAAGTGGGAACATGCAAAGAGCGGGGGCGCCAGCCCCACTAGCGAAAAGCCACTGGCATTTAAGAGGTGGTCTGTTGGTTTGTCCATGAGTGGAACAGGACCAAGATTTCAGACGGTCTGCCTCTGAGAAAACAGTGGGATTGGACGGTCTGCCTGTAAGAGAATCCAGTATTCACCTTTGGTAGCTGAAAGTGGTGCAGCTGCACCAGCCCCTGCGTGGCAATAAGATAGAGTCTGACATCAGTCGGAAAGTGTTATCTTTTCTTGTCGTGAGATCACAATCGTTGGCTGCATTGGTTGTTTCATATTAGTGTCTGCCTTTCTTTGTTTTGGAGGCCCGGAACACTTCATTTGTGCCCAGATCATTAGTCCTTCGGATCAGGAGGAGGACACAGCCGCAGACGCATGAAGTTCGGGCAGTGGGCAGAATCATCGAAAACTCTGCCCTGCTTGTTGGAGTGGCCTTCTGCTACTTGGGCTGTGGTCAGACTGTGCTTGCAGCTGGGTGCAATTCGACCAATTTGCTGAGACTGTTCTCTGTTCCGTTCAGGTGGCGGTGGTGGTGGCGCAGTTGCCACCGGCGGGGGTGGTGGCGCCGCTGCCGGTGGTGCCGCTGAGGAGAAGAAGGAAGAGAAGAAGGAGGAGAAGGAAGAGGAGGAAGAGGATGAGGACATGGGCTTCTCCCTTTTCGACTAGGCCTGTTCGGAATAGTCAGAAAACTTCTGATACCTGTACAAGTATTTCACTAAAAAGTTCTTCCTACCATCATATGTCTGGCGTCCGTCCAGGCTGATCCACCATTTCAAGCTGCGCTTGGTTCTATCTTCGTACTTCACATGGCGGAATAGGATAACATGTTCATTGCAAGGCAGCTGTTGTCGACAGCTCCTTGATATCCTCATTGCAGTTACTGTCAGTAGAGCTGCCGCAGGCATGCTTCAATGCAGTAGACTTACGTCATTCAAAGCAGCAAGCTGTTCTGAGGACATCTAATGCGCGTCATTGAAGTAATCGTCACATTACTGACATACGTCGTGCGGGCGCACCCTATAACAAGTTGTGACGAGTCAGCGACAATCGTCACTTATTGCAAAGGTTGCGTTAATGGTTGATGCCGCACCTCTGCAATCATTTGCCCTTGGTACTGCATGTCCGAATGCCTGTTCACGTTCTTAGACAAGCCTTTGAGCTAGGTAATAGGTCGATATTAGAAAAATAAAGCTGATTAAGAGAGCACGAGTTCATCGAATGAAAACTCTTAGCCTTATGGCATGGTCTTTCCACAATTTTACTGTACCCACATGGCCACAGCCAGTGCTTTTCATGATGGCTTGCATGTATGATGGTGAAGGCAAGCGTTGAAAGTTTGAGAATGACCGTCCCTGACTTCTGCGCAAAGCTCGTGGCCATACATCATGGCATACACCCGGTGTTACATGCGGACTCATTTTCACACGATCCGAGAGATCTACCTGAACTGATGAACATGCTATTGAAATACCAATTAAGGGTCACATTGGAGAGCTCTGAGAATTACGTCGCGCCAAGCTTATATGAGATGCCTGATTCGAAATCTTCGGATAGGGCCCGGCAACAAACATAACTTTCGTTGACAGCAAGCTAGCTAGAACCTGCACCGTGCACCCTTCAAACCCTTTGACAGTTTCTGACCTGGTAATTTAGACGGAGCACCTTTGACGCCTGCAACACTGTGAAGTCACGCTTGACCAAAGTGCCAATACAATGAACGACCTATTGTTGACCACTACGTCGCTTCGAGCTCTGACTGGATGCTTCTGTTCTCAGTATCGAGCTCGTTTTTGACGAGGACAGTCCCGTATATCTCCGAAACTACGCTGCTCATCCTTCGTTGTGCTTCATGATGTCATAGAACTCCATCTCGCTGACTGCAAGAAGCACAACATGTAGCCCATGCATGAGAACAAAATAGTTAGTTTAACTCCCCAAATCGTCGATTGTGCCACCAAGTGCGAGGGAGATCCACCATGGAAAGTCTCGATCGTGCACACGATGCCAAATAACCAAGAACAGTACGGTTCAGCAAGTGGTGCAAATCAGGCGTCCAGTCGGAAGGACCAAATGAAGCTCACTTTCGCCGTCACCGTCCCGGTCAACTGCATGGTCAAGGTGGTGAATCTTAGCTCATCACAAGTACAATGGATCTTGTGAAGAGGAGCAACAGCTTATCCTACCAATAGATGGTCGCGTCTTCAGTCGCCTTTTCAGCACAAAGAATGGTCGAGCCATTCTTTGAACCAATCAAAGTTGATACCCTTGACAAGTCCACACAGCATTTCGATTCAAAGAAGTCATTCTGATTCAGCCAGCCAACTCTCAATCCAGTAGGCGCTTGCGAGCTGCGTCATGCGGAAGTGTTCGAGTCGGACGATTGCTCACACTCGTCAATCATAGCGGATAGGTCTTCGTCCGAGATGTCTTCCCCAAAGTCTTTGGCGACCTTACGAAGGTTCTTGAGCTGCAGCAACAGTGCGAGTGTCAACATGCTCTGTGGTTGTTGTGGCAGCCGTCAAGCTGAACCGATGAGCACTGTGCGCTAGCACATAGTGCCCTTCAAGATACAGCCTCGATGCAATAAAGGGTGGATGATGTCAAGGACGTTGCTTTGCAAGCGAAGCAAAAGATTGTCGACCGAGGACGGGGGACTTGCCGAGATCCTGCCCGTTGAATCGTCGTCGAAGAGCCTGAAGGCTTTCGCCAACTCTTCCATCGGATCTCGTTCACTTATCTTTTGTGACACTGCGAAAGCAAAACATGTGTCGTCAGCTAACATCAGCTGAACGTCCGGATCCATTGGTTAGTTGCTCAATTGCTTTCATATCGTTACTTTGGTCCTGATCATGCTTGAAGGGCTTCTTCTTGCAATCCAGTAGGGACTCAGGCCCGCTACTCACTTATTTCCATGAACTCTTGTAGCTCCAGTCCGCCGCCCTCATCTTTGCCATATTCGGCCATAAGCCCCTTGACCTCGGCCTTGCTCACTGCAAAGCCAAGAGCTCTCATGGCTACCTGCATGAAACATTCACACGTTTAAAGGGACTTACCCTGTACTCGGTACGTGATGCCTCAGCCCACTACTTGCATTGAAAGCAGGCGTGCAATCCATGCAGGCGAACAGGCAACAAGTCAAGCCTTACTTGCAAGAAGCTGGTGAGTGGACGTTGCAAAAAGAGCGACCGACTTACCTTGACTTCCCGATACTCAATCTGCACATACCAAATGGAAAAAGCTTCTGATTTGCTCAGCAACCAGCCCAAGACGACAGCTTCAAAGTCCATGGCGACGATTCCAGCATTCCTGGATCTTACATTCGAAAATTCTCTCTGACCAAACGATGAGAGGGACTAAGATGGGGGTGAAGAGACTGATGGGTTCCCAGTTCTTAAGCATTGCTTCCTGTCCATCATACAATGCTGTCAAAGGAAAATGTGACAAAGTCCGGCACTGGTTTGGCACAAGCCCAACAGTGACAACAGCCTTTTCCAATCAGTCAATCAGAAAGTAGGTCTCCTCCGCAGAGAGTATTGGTGGCGATGTTTTGATGCAAGCTGCATTAGCTTCACAGGTTGATGCATGGTGGCGTGATTCAATCAGTACCGGACGAACCCATCAGCAAAGAAAAGCAGCAGATGGCCTCCTGACAAGAAGCATCCAACTTCAGTCGACCACACAAATACAATGCAATGCAACTTTTTACCTTGCCAGCCTTGTTGCTGTCGAATAGGTCAAACGCCTCCCGAATTTCCTGTTTTTCATCTTCGGTAATCTCCTTCTTGGCTCGCCGGCCCCCTCGCGAGAGAGTCCCCGACACATGGGCAAGACCAGTCATGGGCGCACTTTGACTTGAGAAGCCTGATATGGAGGGTGCGGAGCTTGTAATCCGCGGGTGCGGCTGCGTGTAGGGCAACGAGCTCCGCCGCTGCATGGTGACCTAGTGTTGGCTGTCTTGCACCCGCTATCACAAATGCAATCACCGGTTGCATTCGTCAAAGCAGCCAAATGAAGAAAGCTGCTGCTCAGCGCTTTAACGAGCTCGGACAATTGCCGTAATCGGGCACAGCGGTTGTCAGCAAAGCTGATGTCGACGCGCAACTCTAAAGGTTGGATCAAACGCTCGATATTCACGTCATGCTTGAAGGTTAGCTCAGGGGTTGCCTTGAGTGTTGTGCCTGATAAGATAATCTGCAGCAATGCAAACCCTAATGGCCGAATGTCCGTGTAAAGCGCAAAGCTTTCCAACGTGAGCTGGGCGGCAGCACAGCCCCTGAAGTTGAGTCCCTGTTGATGGCGGAAATTCTATGGATCTACGGCAGTAGTGAACACGTAGTGAATTCAACCAGAAATGGGACGAGCTGCCACAGTCCAAACTCGGACTTCGAGTGCAACCAGATGTGCAGGGGTGAAGCTGGTGGGTGGTATGGGTTATCCAGCTAGGTCTAAGTGTAGCCCGTTAAGCTTATGCCAATAACTCAGAATCTAGACACACTTCCCTACAGGTTGAGGGTTTTTAAGAGCTTGCCACTGTTCTATGGCCAGCTCACTTTTGTTGAGGGCCCATGGCAGCTGTAGCAGCTAGGCTCATGCTTCTAGCTAGCTAGCTGCTGCAGAATCTGCACCCTTTGGTGGCCTGTGCGCCTGATGAAGCGCTTTGCAACGGACCTTTCCAACACAGATTTTAATATGAAGTGGCTTGGGTAGATCGTAGGTAGAGTACGCAGGTACCTACCGTATACCGGTACACCTGTAGTGATGAGACGCTCGGATTGTCGAGCTGAGAAGCCACCAAATCGACGCCTACCAGCGGCACTATGGAGTCTGGACCCTGCATGGTACCTACAGTACCGTTCGCAGTACCGGGGTCCGGTACTACCGTATGTACAAACAAACCGTATGTAAAAGCAGTGGGTACACGCCCACACGCCCACACGCCCACAGGCAAGACTGCCTTACGGTACGGTTACCTTTTGCAACTGCCCAGCCTCGCCTCGGACTCGTCGGAGCGCGCAGGTTTCAAAAACGCCGATCCTCACCATCCGAGTGAACTTCAACGGACTTTGGACGGCTCACATTACTTCTGCATCTGACACCAACGTAATGATCACGTGCCTCGGACCAGTTCAATCATGTGTACCCATGATGGACTCGGAGTCAACAACTTCAAGTTCAGTGCAATGCATGCTCGAGATTATTGGTGTGGTATAGTGGCGGCATTTTCCCGGATTTTTTCCTACCATTCGTAACGCCAGTCGGCCATACATATAACATGCTGGATCACGTCGCAACATAGCGTTTCACTTAGGGTGAACACAAAACAGCGTCCTGACATGCATTTTCTGACAGGTACGTACCGGAGATGGTATGTACTTCATCGCGCGACAAAAGGCTATTGGTATGTACCGCGGTATTAATGCGTTTCAGTGCCACGTGTTCAGCTAGCT